CAGGGTAATGCCCTTTTATAACGCCTTTAAATAAGGTTACTGCTAGCTAGAGATTACCTAATAGGCTAGCTGTAGTTACTTAGAAATTAAATACCTTTTTACGCTTAGTAACGTCTTATAAATTAATTATATAGGGATAAGATAAGGCATAAGGGATTACTATCTTTATTATTTTAGAACTATTAGTTCCTAGTAAGTTACTAGCTTATAGGCTATTAGCTATTAATAAATTATTTAAACTATTATTAGCTCTAATTACCTTAAGTAAGTTACTAGCTTATAGGCTATAGGCTATTAATAAATTAATTAATAGGCTATTAGCTATTAATTTAGGTATTTACTTATTAATTATTTTACTATTAGTAAGTATTTAGCTATTAGCTATTAGATTAATTAATTTAGAACTATTAGTTCCTATTTTACTACCCCTTATGTTAATATCTATAAAAGCTATAAAAAAGGCGCTTAGTAGTAATAGTAGTAGAGTAGGGAGAAGTGTAAATTTTGCCTGCTTATATAGATATTCTAGTATGTTACCTAATTATAGAGCGCCTAGTAGAGTAATATTAGTATACTTAATTACTTTATCTATTTCTTTATTAGCTTCTTTATGTATTAAGGATTAATTACTAGCTGTAATTAGCTTATTAATTTATTATTAAATTACTATAAGATTAGCTTTATAGAGCTTATTAAGTAATCTATTTATTAACCTATTAAAGATTTATTTTCTATTAAATATTATATTATATATAGTAAAGACCTTATTTTATACTAAATACTAGATGTAATATAAATTACTAGATATATATTTAATAAGGAATCTAATCTATACATAAGTAGTAAGCTTTTACTAGCGATTTTATAATAGTTATATGTCTGCTATTAGTGCGTATACTTAGTAGCTATAGGCTTATAGATATAAAAGGTCTAGCTTTGCTATTAGTAAAGGCTTAGCGTGCTTATTAAGTATAAAATATAAGTAAAATAATTAATATAAAGATTTCTACCCCTAAGCTACTAATAGTATTTAATTATAAAGGTATATAGCTATAGTTATAAGTTTAGGCTATAAGACTTTAAGTAATTTTATATTAATCTGTATATATTACGCCTTAAGCCTAATAATTATAGTAATTTACTTAGCGCTACTATTTTAAGCCTAGGTATTTACTACTAACAGCTTAATAGAGATTCTATAATTAAAAAGCGTATTTATAAGTTACTTAAGGCATAAGATTTCTTAGTAAGCCTTAATAACTTTTAGTATAATTAAATATTTAGTTTTTAGTATTATAAAGAAGCCCCTTATTATTAAGTTAATAGTATCTTAGTAGTAGCTATATAAGTAGAAATCTTATATAAGGCCTATTACCTAATCTAAGATTAGTATTACTAAGTAGTATTTTATATAGCCTTATTTAAGATTATAAAAGTCTAGCGCTAGGTAATTACCTAGCGCTATATTTATAATAGATTTATAAGGCTAGTAGTAAATCTACTACCTTATCTTACTAAGACTATATAAATTATAGTCTTATATTATTATAGTATTAACTTAGGTTAGACATACTCTACGTGTAGTATTTATAATCCTTTATAAAGCCTTAGCACCTAGGTAGCTAAGACGCTTATACTATATTATTATATTACTATAAAGCGGTTATTACTACGTTAACGTTATATATTTATTTCTTACTTATAGGGTTAGTAGTAAATTATTTATAGAGTATATAGTAAAAGCGCCTTTACTTTCTTAGCTATAGCTACGTTACTTATAAAATTTAAGCACTTATTAGTTAGCTTATTCCTTAATATAGCCTATAAGGCTGTAATCTATACACCTTAGGTAATTATTACCTAGGCTTATATCTTACTATATACCTTACTAGTATAGCCTTATAAAGGAAATAAGTAATATAGTAAATACGCTATAATATATTATATTATATATATAGAGCTTTATTAGTAAGCTATTAGCACCCTTTAAAGTAATCTTTATAGTACTATATCCTTTAATTATAACTTAGGTAGTACTAGCCTAGATATAGTTACTAATTAGGGCTACTACTAACGTAATAAACTATAATATATAGTTAAATATATAGTTAGTAGTGCCTAAATTAAGTAAGGCTAAATTACCTAGCTTATAGCCTTATAAAGTAGTATAAAAAGCCACCTTTATATAGTATTTACTATATAGTTAATATAACTTAGCCTTAATTCTTTATACTTATTTAGTAAGGTTAGGATTACTTATAATATACTTATTTATCTATTACTAACGTTATATATTTACTTACTAATTATTAGGCCTTTATAACTTATTTATAAAGTAATAGAGTTATAATAAATAGGGATTAAAGCACGTAAGGTATTTTACCTTCTTACTTACACTTTATTAATAGTAATATCTCTTATTAGTTAATTTATTCTCCTTTACTACGTCTTTACTATACGTTAGGTTATTATTACTATTACTTCTAGTTAGGTTAAATACGCTACAGCCTACTTAGCTATAATACAGTAAGTTATTAGTAAGAGCTTTAACCCTCTCTAGCGCTATCTTATAGAGAGACTACTAGTTAAGATTATTCTAATTACTTATTATTTTACTTATTACTATATATAAATCTAGCTAGGCGCTAAGTAAACTATTTTATAAAGCAGTAGTAAGGTTATTAAACTAGATTAATAGCTATTAGTAGTTAAGTAAATTAACTTATACTAGTTTACTATAAGCTACGTTTTATTTATTAAGCTATATAGTAAGATCTTTCTTAATAGTTAAGGCCTTTTACTAGGCTTTTACTAACACTTTACTATATTTATTATAAGTATACTTTACGCGCTCTTTTTTAGTTATTCTTACTACTACACTAAGCTTATTAAGCTATTTAGCTAGTAATTTATTAGATTTATAATATCTTTCTTAAAGATCTATAGATATAGTAGATTTAACTACGTTAGCTACGTCTTTAACGTCCTTTTACTAAGTAGTATACTTACGTACTTCCTTATAATAGTAGCTTATCCTACTATTTAAGTATATAAGATTATATAGGTTAAGATTATCTAGCGTTATTATATATTTAGTTTTATATATAAGCCTATTAAGTATAGTTATAATAGCCTTACTTCTTACTATATATAGCTATATAGTTACTTACTAAGATATCCTAGTAATTACTATAGCTATAGTAACCTCTTAGTAAGTAGTAAGCTTATCCTTAGTTAAGGCGTGTAGATATTACGTTATAAGTAGCTTTGTTAGTTTCTTTAGATATATCTTAAGGATTAATTAGTCTGCTGCTATAACCTCTAGGTTAATATACTCCTAGAGATTATAACGTTTTGCCTTTACTTAGATAGCGTTAAGCTACGTAAACTAATTACAATGTAATTATAGGATAGTTACCTTATTATTATAGTTCTTATTAATTATTATAATAGTATTTAATTAGTAAATAGGCACGTTAGTTATTATAGACGTGTGTATTAGACTGTTAATTATTAAATAGTAGGGATTATAATAGTTAATTAATTCTATTATATGTTATATATCTATAGTGAATTACTATAGAAATAGGGAAAACCCCCTATTTCTTAGTTAGGATATCCCTAGCTAATCTTAGTGATATTATTAGTAGACTTGCTACTAGAAGTAGGGCTAATTTACTACCTATTCCCTAACAATTTGCTGTAGGGTAACTGTGTATTTGCTGGCTAATTTACGTGTAATTCTGCTACATTTAACACCTATCTCTAAGTAGTAATTTATACTAAAAAAGCTAATTTAGTAAATTAAGTAATTATATACCTAACAAAAGTAAATTAAGGTACTAATATACCTTAAGCACTACTACTACTTACTAGATCCTTTTAAGTAACTATAACACCTATATAAAGTAAGAAATAAAAAAATTAATAAGAAAAAGAGAACTAACGTTAATATAAATAATAACTACTAAGAGTATATATCTCTAGCTAAAGACGTCTAGTAAGCTATTAGAGGCAGTTTAATAAGGCTATAGGAAATATAGTAAGGTATAGAAGGATTGGGGGAAATCTAATGCTAATTTAAAGCCTGTTTGCTGGCCCTTGCTACCTAATTTGCTTCTGACGTACATAACTAACCCCTGCTTCTGCCACTTCTAGATCCCTATTTCTGCTAGCCGACTATGCCTATTACGGCGGCTGCGATATCCCTTTCCGCTAGCCTACCTACTAGCTAACCTTCAATCTGCTAAGTGTTTACGGTATAGTTATAAAAGGTAGGTTTTATACTTTAAGGGTATACTAAGCATATGCTAAGCTTATTTTAGTTACTTAATTTTTAATTTATACTATCTATTAGGCCTTTACCCCCTCTAAACTTCTGCCTTACTGGCCTTTTACCCCCCTTCTAAACCTAGAATACCCCCCTAAGAACTAAAAACCTACTTAAGTGGAGGCAGGTCAGTACTTTAAGATAGTCTGAGATGCTGAAGTTCACCTAGTTATCTGTATGCCTGTTAACTGCTACTATTGCGTCCCACTGCGTAGCTGTGGCAGTGGGGTCGTTGCTTGAAGTGGTTAGACACAGGTTAAGTACCTGTACTGCATAAAGAGAGAGTTACAGATAGTGGAGCTGCTCATCTCTTAGCTAAGTACTAGCCCCGGCTACTCCGTAGTGGTTTATGCAAGAACAGTGGGGCCTAACTACGCACAAAAAACTTTCTCTCCTTAATGACAGAGTAATTCTTATAACATAATGTATAGGTGAAACTTTAGTATATTAATTAATACTATATGCGTGTATCATTTGTACTACCACCTACTTCGGAGTAGCCGGCTTAGTAGCTATACTTCTTAATATCTACTGAATATAATGAAGGGCGACCAGCATTGTTGCTTTGCTCTATATATAATGCAAAGCTTCCCTGGAACGCTAGAAGTTCTTTTCATCATTAAACAGCTTGAGTCTTTATCTTTGAATATCAAACAGTCCTCCTAGCACGATGCTTTTCAAAACTTACCTCTTTGTTCTGTCCCTCCTGGCGGTCGAGCTAGTGACTGCTCGTATCTGTGTGGGTAACGCCATTCAATGCTACTGTACGTCGTCTGGAAATTACATATACACTTGTAAGATACTGATTGCTTTATTAGATCCAAACGGGCGTTGCGCTAGAACCTGTGAAGCGATCGACTGCGTATGCCCTGACTTTAGGCCTGGCCAAGGCGGAGCCCTGACGAGATCAAAATGTATCGATATCTTTAAGGCGGTGGGTCGCCACCAGTGCTAGGTTCTGAGGGTTTTCAAAGAATATTGGTAATAAGTACTGTTACAAGTCAAGATCTTGGGCGGTAGATGATGACGTCGCAAGGATGGGCACAAGTTATGTCTTGTTATGTTGGATTATTAGATCAAAGGAGGGAAGTAGGCTTCGTAGTTCAATTAATCTGAGCATTCCCGGGGATGGGTACGACTTTCCCATCCTCTTATGTTACGCACGCCACAAAAGTCCGACACACTTGTCTCCTTCGTCCTTCCATCTCCCCCACGACATTCCGCCGCACCGCCTATCAAGCCAGAACGCTGCTTCGCCAACAACGTCGTTGTTCCCAAGGCCAACCCCCCTTGCCTAAAGGCACTGTTGCAGTATATTAACAAGGGTTTACTTGCAAGAGTAGTGTCCAGTTTTACCAGGTGAGGTCTTGTTAAAGTAGCTATGGTATATAGCAGTCACTAAAGTCATAGCATCTAGGGGGTGCCTCTGCTTTTACACGCACTTTGTTAATTAACAGTCTGACTTACGCTAGTAGGCTAACAGTCCACTCCAGGCTACTAAAACCTAAGGCCTAGGGTTTAAATCCTGCCTTAGGCCAAGAAGAGCTACAGGCTAAAGTGCCTAAAAAGTCTAAAGAGATATAGTAGTCTATATAGCTATAGTATTAGATAAGTGCTCTAGTTTATATATCCCCTAGCATAAAAATAGGCCTAAGCCTTAAAGGGCTCTTAGGCTTAGGGGGTGTATTAAAGTAGCTATAGTATATAGTAGTTACTAAAGTTATAGTATCTAGGGGGTGCCTCTGCTTTTATACATACTTTACTAGGTCTAAAAGTATATTAAACTACTATAGCCTAGGCATAGGGTTTTACTTCTTTTAAAGACTAGAGGCTAAGATTTATTTAGTAATTAGAGATACTATGCCTTATTAGACTTAAACTATAGTAGTAAAATAGACGCTACTAAGATCTTTATATATATATACTTTACTAACTAGTCCTTTATTTAAAGTAACTAACCTAACTTTAGCCTTAAAGATAGTTAGTTAACTTAAAGCTTTTCTTATAGTTAGTTAGTTAGTTAAATACTATTTTTCTTTAATAGTTAGTTAAATTAGTTACTTTTAGTTAAATACTTATTATTTCTATAATACTATTTCTTTAGTATATAAAGGCATCCTCTCTCTCTTATAGTAAGTTTCTTTTTTTCTTACTATAACGTAAGATAATAATTATTATAATTATCTAGTAGGTAATTATAACTATTATACTATTACTATTAACGTAAAGTGAGGCTATTTATAACTCTTATCTTACTAATATAATATATATATATTCTAATTCCTTATAATATTACTATTACTACTAATATTTATACTTTATATACTTTATCTCTCTCTTTATCTAACTATTTATATTTTAAAGGTTTTATTTTACTTTTTATTTAACTCTTTAGTATTTTAATACCCTTAACTATTAAAAGTATATAGGGCGTAGAGGACTCTTATAGTGTAGTAACTAAACAGAACACTATAACTATTAAAAGCAACACAAGATTCCTTACTAATTAGTGTATAGGTTATCTTAATTAGTCTAAATTTAGCCTTAATTAAAAAGGTTAAGTTTATTAGATTAAGTATAATTACACCCTAATTAAGTAAGTAGTATACCCCTAATTATCTTATATTATTATAGTTAAAGGTAGATTATAAAAAGGCTTTAGTTTAATTAGGTAAGGTAAGTATATGTAAAGAAAATAAATTATATATAACTATTTATAAATCTACTTTTAATAGCTTTTATCTATAGTTACTAATTAGGTATAAGATATTCTAATTAGCGCTTATACTATCCTTACTTTAGCTAATTACTTTACTTTACTTTAAATATCTCCTAATTTCTTCTTTATAAGTCCTCTTAGGGAGAGATTATAACTAAGATTAGCCTAAATCTAACCTCCTTTATAGTAAATTAGTAGTAACCTTTCTTTTTTTCTTTTTATCTTCTATATACTTATTATATATTACCTTAGTATAATCTTATTTAACTTTAGTATTTAGTTACTTCTAGCCTTCTTAGTTCTATTCTAATAAGGATAGTACCTAAGGTGTATAACTATAGGTTAAGTAGGCTAATTTATTAACTAGATTATTATACTAATTAACCTACTTAGCCTATATATACTTATTAATTACTATTTTCTTAAGAAGCTTATTTTATTAGTATAGTAATTAATAGTAATAATCTATAGTATCTTATCACGCTAACTTATTTACCTTTTATTAAGTAAGCTTTACCTTACTAAGTTTTAACTTTTATACTTTTTATTTAGTCTACTAATTATAATTATTTTATAGTAACTTACCTAGATACTAATTACCTACTTAGCTTCTGGATTATAGGTATATAAAAGGCTATTAAGGTAAAGTTAGTGTCTTTATAATTAGTAGCTTCTTAATCTTTAGTCTTTTTAAAGCTAGATTATTCTTATTACTGGTAATAAAAGGTCTAGGTGTCCTAGGAGGTAAGTTTAATCCTAGGAGTATATATATTAAGTTCTTAAATTAAGAGGTGCTTTATAATAGCTAAGTTATAGTAACTAAAGTTAGTAGTATTAGTTCTAGACTAGCTAGCCTTAAGGTTATATTACACTAATCCTTTACTATAGACTTTTAAGATAAAAAGCTTAGAAAAGGTAATTATTTATAATAGGTAGTAAGTGTTAGTTATAAATATAGGCTAAAGATCTTAAGATTAGTTAGTATACTATATAGAACAGACACTTAGAGACTAGGCCTTATAAATAGCTTATTAAGAATTATATATTCTAACCTAGTCTTATCTAGTAATTTAATCTTACTAACTCTAAATTAGTTATAAGCTCTTTTAAGCTTTAGTTTTAAAATATTATATATTATTTTATATAGTTAGTTACTATTATAGTAGAACTTATAGCTAATTTTATTATAGCAGTAATACTACGTTAGTTAGGTATATAACTGTATTTCCTATTATAAGAATTTAAAGTTAAAGAGGAAAGGAATCTACACTAGGGGGCCAGTAGTCCTACTAGCTATTATATAGCTGTCTATTCTGTTTATAAGTTACCTAATAGTTCCTATAACTAGGGGTTCTAGCTCCTTACCCTTTAGTAGATCCTTTAGTACTATAGGGCTTACTAGCTACTAAGGTATAGGTGTACTAACTACTATAGTATAAGGCCTTAGCTACTAAGGCGTAGTGTACTAACTACTATAGCATAAGGCCTTAGCTACTAAGGCGTAGTAGTAAGGCCCCTAGGCTAGGCTAGGCTAGTAGGGTTAAGGGCAGGATTTATATATATATATAGTTAATAGAGAGCCTAAGCCCTATAGGGCTTACTAGCTAGTTACTAAGCACTTTTTAGTTAGTACGTATTAAGATAGTTAAAGCCCTATAGGGCTTACTACTTACTTTACGTCTACTACTACTACTATAACAGCTACTTTAACAGCCTAAGCCTTATAGGGCTTACTATATTATCTCTATTAACTAGAATAAGTAAAGCCCTATAGGGCTTACTACTTTACTTACTATCTACTAAGATAGCTAAAGCCTTATAAGGCTTACTACCTTACTTACTGTCTACTAGGACAGCTAAAGCCCTATAAGGCTTACTACCTTACTTACTATCTACTAAGATAGCTAAAGCCCTATAAGGCTTACTATATTATCCTTATTTACTAAAATAAATAAAGCCTTATAAATATAAACTATTAGGCTTAGATTTAGAAAAAAACCTGTTTTCTAAAATAATAAAGTTATATATTAGTAAAAGGTATATATATACGTTTCTATAAAAACAGAAGAAATATCACTATATATAAGTAATTAGTATTTATTTCTATAAAAACTAATAACCCTTACTAAAGTACTACTTCTTATACTCTATTAAATATATATAGTTAGGTAGTATAATCTATATATATATATTAACTTAGAGCTATAGTTATTTAAAGCTTAAGGTAGGATAGGTTTATTTATATATATAAAACCTATAATCTAGATTCTATAATCTATAACCTATATATAGTTCTATATAAACATATCTCTAAGTAACCTATATACCTAAAGCAAAAGGCTATAACCTATAATCTAGATTCTATAATCTATATCCTCTATACGTTTCTATATAAACATATCTCTAAGTAACCTATATACCTAAAGCAAAAGGCTATAACCTATAATCTAAATTCTATAATCTATATCCTTTATATGTTTCTATATAAATATATCTAAAGCTTACTTATAAGTCTATAAGATAAAGTATAGACTTTACTAAGTAATATAATAAGGCCTAGGTAAAAGGATAACACTCTACCTATATTCCCCCTTATTATCTCCTGCTTAGGCTAACCTTAAATACTCTTCCCTCTTACTATAGTCCTTACCTTAGTAGGCCTTAGTAGACTAAGTAATAGTAAGTAGAGCTCTTACTAAAATACTATCTAAAGCTATAGAACTATAACCTTTCTATAGGTTATAAGATTATAGTCTTAACCTAATATATTATATATATTAAGTATTTTATTAAGAGCTATACTATAAAGGTCTTTTACTATTACTAAGCACTACCTTAAAGCTAATATAGTATAAAGTCTATAATATATCTTTACTAACTAAAAGTATTATATTATATTATCCTCTATCTTAAGGTATTTCTTATAAAGTAATAGTAATAAAACTATACTATCTCTTATAAGCTTATTAAGATAAGTAAGTAGGTAGCTTTTTATATAGTATAGTATATTACTTTTCTTTTTTACTTAACACTTATACTTTAAATAGTCTAGAAACTATATATAAAAAAAAAAAAAAAAGAAAAAGTAAATAATAAGATATTTAGCTTAAGTCCCTTAATTACTTTTTAGTTTATACCTAGGTTTACTTAGCTATATAAGGATTATATTCTTATCTTAAAATT